CCCACAGCACCATACCAGGGCCCCCTAGTAGAGCAAACAGGGGCAAAATTATGAAAACTTCTTAGACATAGCCAAACACCTAGAAAAAATAAGTCACTGCAACTGGGGGGTTCAGAATGATCTTAAGGGATGTCAAGGTCAATTAGCATAGCAGAGCCCACAAAAACAATGCTCTACATCTTACTTAGGTGAGTGGTGACTGGGGTCTTCAAAAACCATGAGTGTTATCTAAAGCACAACTATTGATCTCTCCCTATCCGGAGAAAAGAAGAGTGACGAAAATCAAAGACCCATGGACTAATAGACCACATTAACCCAGCCTCCACGACCCTGAGACCAGCAGCCAGTAGTAGTGATCCCTAAAGGGACCACATTAGCAGGTCCTAGATAAGAGTTATGGTGTTGAAGGAGAATATTAACCAGAACCCACAACTCTGTGTTGGAAGAAGTACAGCCAGAATGCTCCTTGGAAGTCGGGATGGCGAGACTTCATCTCTTATACTTTGGACAAGTTATCAGGAGCGACCAGTCCCTGGACAAGGATATCATGTTTAGTAAAGTGAAGGGTCAGAGAAAAAGAGGAAGACCCCCAATGAGGTGGATTGGTACAGTGGCAGCAGCAATGGACACAGGTGTAGCAATGATTGTGAGGAGGGCGCAGGACCAGGCAGTGTGTTTCATTCTATTGTGCACGGAGTCACTATGGGTCAGAATCAAATCGATGGCACCTAACAACAACAAGGAGATAAGAGTGGATTCTGAAGAAAACATGGAACGGGGTATAGCGCTGCTGACATCAGATGGATCTTAGTTGAAAGCAGAGAATACCAGAAAGTTGTTTACTTGTGCTTTATTGACTGTGCAAAGGCTTTCGATTGTGTGGATCATGACAAACTACAGACAACACTACAAAGAACTAAAGTTCCAGAACACTTATGTTCAAACGAACCTGCACACAGACTTAGAGGCCGCTTTCCAAATAGAACATGGGGATACTGAATACTGAAATCAGGAAAGGTCGCCAGCAGGGTTGTATCCTTTCACTACACTTACTCAATTTGTATGTTGTTGTTGTTAGATGCCGTCGAGTTGGTTTCAACCTATAGCGACCCTGTATAGAATGTCCAAGGAGCAGCTGGTGAGCTTGGACCGCACACCTTGTGGTATGCTGAGCAAAGAGAAACTGGATTATATGAACAAGGCATCAGCATTAGAGGAAGGCACATGGCAACCTATGATATCCAGATGACACAACTTTGGAAAGGGAAGACTGAACCACGGATGAAGATCAGTATGGACTGCACCTCCATGAAAGGAAAACAAAAACTCTAACGGCCACACCAATACATATAATGAAAAACTCAAAAAAAGATCAAGTTGTCAAAGACTTCTATTCACTTGGACCCACAATCAGCACTCATGGAAGCTCCAGTCAAGAAATCAAAACAGAGAGGGGATGAGCAAGTGATGTATTGCAATAGGCAAATCTGCTGCAAAAGACCTCTTTCAAACATAAAACAGAGAGATGTTAATTTGAGGACTACCGTGTGCCTGACCCACACTTCATTTGTATTATTCACCTCATTTTCAATCGCCTCATATGCATGTGAAGGTTGGATAATGAATAAGGAAGATCAGATAAGAATTGATACATTTGAATTATCTTGTTGGCAAAAGATAATGAAAGTCTCATATTGCAACATGTCTTGATAACTCATCTGTAAACTTCCAAAGAACAGGAATGGTATCATTCAGTTTTCTTAATATAAATTATAATTACAAAAAAAAAGAGATAATGAAAGTGCCATAGACTGCCAGAAGAAATGAACAAATCTGTCTTGGAAGACTTCATTACTTGTACTTTGGACATTTTATTAGAAAGGGCATCAACTTGGCAAAGTGGAGGGTCAGCAAAAAAGAGGAAGATCCCCAACGAGATGGAGTGACACAGTGGCAGCAACAATGTTCTCACACATCACAATAATTATACATATGGTCATATACATATACAATTATACATATACAAATATACATATGCATAGGGTCACTATGAATTGGAACTGACTAAACAGCACCTAACAACAACTAATAGATTAGGAGGAAAACATGAAACAAAATTCAAAATCATTAAAAAAAAAAACAGACTTACTGGTCAAATAGTGACTAACAGAACCTATGAGACTATATATATAGCTCTTAAGTCAACCGGTATGAACTGAACTCATCTGAATAGCTTGATTTTCAGCCAAACAACATACAGGTCTTTAAGATGAACAAATAACACTAAGGAGGTACACACGCCATAGAATTACCAACCACTTGAGATCAAAAGCACAGCATTTGTCCAAGGACGCAGTTTTGAAGGTGAAAAGGGTTAGCAAAGAAAACAAAAGGGAGGAACTGGGGTAAGTGATTCTGAGGGTGACGACCAATGACATGAAATAAAATCTATACGAATTATTGCATGAAAGATTGATTTGCTCTACACACCTTCAACCAATTCACACAAAAAAGTTGAAATAAATTAAATTTTTTTTAATTTCTTCATTATCTGTCTCAAAGACTATCCTATGTGCTTGGAGAAAATGTATCAAGATTACCCCTTTGGAGTCCCTAGAAACAGCCCTCATAACTTTGTGAACTGATTTCTCTGTCTTGAATTTAACCAGCCTAGCAGATCCCCGCTGAATCCAATTTTGATTGGAACTTTCTTGCAGGCACCCTAACAAGACTCAGATTGAGAGCATTTGTCTGCAACCATCTGCTGATCACAGAGACCTGTTTAGAATAAACCCCTGCATGTATAATCAGGAACTCTGGTAATAATATATTTTTACTTAACTTCAAATATATTTTTACCACAACAAAACAATTTTTTTTAAAAAAAACAGTCAAAAGATTAGCTTCTCGTTCATCGGATATGAAGTGAGGGGAGATACACAAGAATAACCCATACTTGCAGATAGTACCCATCTGACCTGGCTTCAATGGCTGGATGATCAAAACTCAACTAGAGGAAGAAATAAGATGGAAAAAACGAGTAATCCACCACAATTTGACGAACTTAAACTATACTTATAGATGCAGTAGCTCAAAAGAGGGAACAAATCCTTATAGAGAGGATCATTCCCACCCCCTCAGTACACAGGGTTGACAGAGATGGGCAACTTAGACATTGGCTACCCAAAATGAGGGGACTACAAAGGCACGAAATGATTGGCTTTCAAGCTTCCGAGAAGGAGTCTAGTTTCAGAGGGTATGAAGGAAGGTAGAACCTCCACTGAGTGGTTTCCAACCTGTCTGGGCAGGGCTGATGAAAGGAGATGGGGACAGGACTCTTGTGGTACAATAGTGAATACTTGCTATCAGGACTGACTGTGAGGGTTGGGAATGTAAAGGTAGATGTTTTGTAACAAAAGAAGGGGAGTGGTTGATATTGCAGTCCAGGAGTGGAGGACCCTGGGACTATCAAGGGAGAAGAGCGGAGTGCTGGATCGGCTAATGGGGAGGTGGGGAAGGGGTGCCCTATGGTTGTTTAAATGGTTCAATATTCCTGAGTGTTTTGGTGTACATCCAAAAAACAAAACAGAGAATGGAAGCAAATGCTGTTGAATGATATGCATGGAGGGGATTGTAATCATTGCAATGAAACGAAATAAGAGAGATAGGATGAATGTAAAGCTGATGTTCTCCCATGTAAACTATCATCCAATTCACAATAAAAACTTAAAAAAAAAAAAAAAAAAAACTAGATTTGCTTCTCTCTACCTTTTGTAAGCAAAGGGTAGAAGTAAGTAAGGCCAGTATGTCAGCAGAAGTTTTAATGATTAGAAGTGTTTGTAGGGAGTATCAGTGGGGATGTTCCAGAAGCTTAGTAAAGCAGGATGTGGTCAGATGAAATAATCATCAATCAACAGAAGAGAGGGTAGAAAACCCCTCCTGAAGGAGGTCTGCAAGTAACTTCTAGCCCAAGAACTTCAACACACTTCAGTCTTTCCCACAGGTCCCAACCACGCCATCAGCTCTCAGGGTTGGCGGTGTTGGTGTGCAGCGGAGTCAGTTCCGACTCAAAGCGACCCTGTACAGGGTTTCCGAGGCTGCAAATCTTTACAGGCGCAGAAAGCCTCTTCTTTCTCCCAAGGAACGGCTGGTAGTTTCGAACTGCTGACCTGGAAGTTAGCAGCCTGACTCGTAACCGCTACGCTACCAGAGCTCCTTTCAGCTCTCATTGGGTAGTCAGTAAGTACTTGACTGGCTGCATCAAGTCATTAGTGGGTCAAACCAGAAACATGGGAGAGATTCTTGATTCATCTCGCCCTCACCCCACGTTCAGTGCGCCAGCACCAAGTCCCAGCAGCTCCGCCGTCGGAGTATACCTTGATACAGACCAGCCCAAACCACCAATGTCTCCAAACCCCCTTAGGAAACAGCAATCATTCCACAACTGGTTTCTTCTTCACTTTTGCCCACTTCCAACCCGCCTGTCATTAAACAACTGTTAACATACACCTCCTCTTAGCACAAAATCCAAACTTCTGGGATCCAGAAGGGGGCCGGTCCCTGTGACATCATTTCCTACCATTTTCTTCCCCACCCGCACTGGTCATGCTTCAATTTATCAAATTCAGGGCCCTGCTTCAAAGCCTTAGCACTTGATGTTCCCTCTGTTTGCAACGTTCTTCCCCTAGACGTTCCCCATGATTGGCTCCTTTTTGTCTCATGTTTGGACTTTAATGTCCTCTCCTGGAAAAGATATTGCCTGACAACGCCCTCCAGCTCTCACATGTGCCTGTTTCATTATCATTTTTACGACTCTCATCCTTCTGGGTCTCTCGGCTGTCCCCCCAGAACGACAGCACCCCGAGAGCTAAGCCTACGCCTCCCTCATTGCTGTTCCAGCGTATTTAGCCAAGACCGACCCCAAGATTGATCGTTCTTCTCCAGAACCCTAGACCCCTTGTCTGCTTTCCCCAGGTCCCGCTGCCCATTGCGGCCTGCACCTTCTTCCAGGGGCTCCAGACCCGTCCCGTAGCTGATCAGGTCCTCGTCGCTGTCACTGTCCAGCGCGGCCATTTTGCTCCCTCCCTAGCCCCGCCCCTTCAGTACGGCGGTCTCGACAGGCCAAAAACCTTTCTGCTTCGCGAACGAAATCGATGCTTTAGGACTAAGGACCGAAGTCTAGAAAAGGCCCAAGTCTAGAGAGGCGCTAGGGAGAAGCTGGGAATTAACAGACCTTTAGCCGTGTACTGGTTCTAAGTGATGCGACAACACCCATTACCCACCCACCTCCGCTCACCCTCACACTTTGCCCTATTTTCCCTTGCCGTCTTGCCCCCCACCCACCCACCCACCACCCAGAAAAGTCCTTTAGGTCCCAGATATGCCCGTGTTCGCCTCCTGTTATTTCACTTACTGGTGGAATACATGATACAGAACTATGTTGTAAACCCATCGTGCAATGAGATTATATACAAAAAAAGTACCGTAAGTAGGTTTCCACTTCATACTGCACAGGTTTGTTCCAAAGTGTGCTTAAATATGTATGATAGTTTTTAAAAGTTTTGTGTCAGTTGGCTATGCCAGGAACTTCAGTAGTTTAGCAGCAATAATCACTGCCTACCCCCCTCACACACACATACACACCCATGTGTGATGGGATACGATCAGGTCTCTGATGATATAATTATTGTATGTTGTTACAGAATGAGTCTATTTTAAATTAATCTCTTTTGAGATACAAGAGATTAAACTAGCAAGCAGAGCTGAAAGGGACCTTCTACCACCAAGATACAAGACGGAGGAGTAGAGTATGTCCTTTGGACCTGGGATCCCGGCACCATGAAGCGCCTTGTTAAGTACTGTGTAGTCGTTCCAACTCTTAGTGACTCTGTATAAGGTTTCCGAGGCGTGACTGACGGGTTTAGACAGCATAATTTATGATTAGCAGTCCTGTAAATGCGCCAGACTGCAAAGCCGTTTGAACTGCAAGGTCAGTGGTTCAAGCTCACCAGCTGCTCCTGGGAAACCTTATACAGGATCGCTATGGGTCGGAATCAACTCGACGGCACATAACAATAACAAAACTTATCCTACATCGCCATACCAGGACTCTGTGAGGCTCCTAGATTCTGGAAAAATAATGCCAAGACACACGGAGATCTCCAAGAATGTAGGACCTGCAAATAAGCCCAGCATTAGTAAAATCAGTAAAATACTTACTGATGAAGCTCAAAGACCACAGCCTTCTATATGGCTTGCACCTCAATGTAAAGAAAACAAAAATCCGCACAACTGAACCAATAAATAACATCATGACAAATGGAGAAAACATTGAAGTTGCCCAAGACTTCATTTTGCTTGGATCCACCATCAACACTCATGGAAGCAGCAGTCAAGAAATCAAACCACATATTGCATTAGGCAAATCTGCTGCACAAGACCTGTCTAAAGTGTTCAAGAGCAAAAATGTCAGTTTGAGGACTAAAGTGTGCCTGACTCAAGCCATGATATTTTCAATAACATCATACATGCATGTGAAAGTTGAACAGTGAATAAGGAAGATGGTAGAAGAATTGATTAATTTGAGTTATAGTGTTGGAAAAGAATATTAAGAGTACCAGTCACTGTCAGAAGAACAAGTCTGTGTTGGAAGAAATACAACCAGAATGCTTCTTAGATGTCAAGAGGGCCAAACTTCGTCTCTGATACATTGGACATATTATCAGGAGGGACCAGTCCCTAGAGAAGGACATCATGCTGATGTCCTTCTGCATGCTGGAGGGACAGCGAAAAAGAGGGAGACTCCCAATGAGACAGAGTGGCACAGTGGCAACAACAATGGGCTCAAGTGTGAGGCTGGTACACGGCCTAGCAATGGTTCAGTCTGTTGTACATAAGGTTGCTATGGGTTGCAACCAACTCAATGGCACCCAACAACAACAGCAACAATGACAACAGATAGAAAGGAGACAAGCAACTTTCACCAGAGTCAGCACTCTTAATTCAGACATCTAGCCTCCTAAACTGCGAGTCCTGGTATGGCACTGTAGAATAAGCACTGGACTGCTAACCAGAAGATCAAGGGTTCAAACCCACTAGCCACTCCTTGGAAATCCTACACAGGGTCTCTGTGAGTTGGAACTGACTCAATGGCACATAACAACAAAATGAGAGAATAAATTTCTGTTGGTTAAAGCCATTCACTTGTGTCATTTCTGTTATACAGCTCTTGATGTGTCTGTGATTAGTGGATGGCTGCAGAAAAATTCTATCCATCTCCTTAGGGTGCCTTCAGGAAAAAAAAAAAAAAAAAGATACTTTTTGGGCCAGGGAAAACAGAACTATGTTAAAGTTGGGACCAATATCAAAATTCTAACAAAACTCAAGTGGACATCTTCCCAGATTACTGAAGGTTTGCAACCAATTTATGGGACTACTTCCCCACGTAAAACAAGTTTTTAAATTAATCCAGCGTTTCAAGCAAGGTTGAGAAGATCTCAAAGATAAGCAAAGAGAGGGAAAGCTGTCAGCCTCAATGAATGAAGAAAAAAAAAACAAAACTGGCTTATGTCCATAAATTGATGGAAGAAAATGTTGAATTCCCAATCATGTGATACCTTTTTGTTGTGAATTGAGTGAAGGTTAACAGAGCAGATCATCAGTTTTACATTCAATAAGTCATACACTTTATTTCATTTCAATGATTGTTATCCCCTCCATATAACATCAGTTATCTCACATTTTTCCTGTGATTCTTGTTTCTCCATTCAACCTTCTCTTCCAACCCTTTGGAATTTTGTCCTTAGGTAAATGCCGCCCTTTTGATCGCAAATGACTTACCATCAAATGCCATTATCTTTTCATTTCTATTTTTCTACAATCTATTGTATACATCATCCTGTGCACACATGCCTAAGCAGAGACCCCTTTCAGACCTCTGGAAGGATTCACAGATACCTATGGGAACAAAGCTATCGAAAGAGAAAAAGAAGAGAATAAAAGAAAAGGAGAGGGGGAAATGGGTAAAAAAAAAAAAAAAAGAAGTGAAATAGGAATTGTGATATAGTGGATTATCTAATGTCTCTTCTAGCCCTCACCTGTCACTCCTACCAAACAATGTTTGAAGCCTGTAGGGTCTGGGTAAGAGAAAATATAGATAGGGTGACATGATTCAGCTTTGCATGTTAGCAGAATTCATTGTAATTGTGAATACTTGAAACTCTAGTATGAGTATAAAATGAACCATCTCATAAACAGGAGGGGCGGATCTCACTATCATCAAAGAAGAAAAGCAGACGTGGAGCATGTCCTTTTGACCCCAAGAGCCCTGTGCATTGAACCTCCTTGACCCAGGGACAGAAAACAGTGACACCAGAGGAGTGGCAGAAGAGCAGCAGCAGGACCAAGAACCAGAACATGCGACAGCGTGGTGGACTTCCCAGCTCATGGAACAAGAAAAGCTGAGTGACTTTGGGCCGGAAGCTTGCTTGTAGAGTGGAGTGTTTGTTGACCCAAGGAGCTACAGCCAAGTGACTTATGGTGGAGTGGTGTGTTCTATGGACATTTATCAGCAGCTGACTGAAACAACTGTGCCCTGAGCATTTCTGGCCCTGTGTTGGACTCCAAGTGTGATGATGTAGAATGAGCACTGGACTGCTAACCACAAGGCCAGTGGTTCAAACCCACCAGCTACTCCTTGGAAACCCTATAAAGGGGTCACTATGAGAACAATATTGTAACCCATGAATTTCCATGTTGTTGTTGTTGTTGTAATGTGCCATGGAGTCAGTTCAGACTAATAGCAACCCTGTACAGGGTTTCCAAGGTTGTAAATCTTTATGGCAGCAAAAAGCCTCATCTTTCTCCTGCGGAACAGCTGGCATTTGGAACTACTGACTGTGAGATTAGCAGCCCGATTTGTAACCGCTACACTAGCAGTAGCGTAGTGGTTACAATCGGGCTGTGAACCGCAAGGTCAGCAGTTCGAAACTACCAGCGGTTCCGCTGGAGAAAGATGAGGCGTTCTGCTCCCGTAAAGATTTACAGCCTCGGAAATCCTGTGCAGGGTCGCTATGAGTCGGAACCGACTCCACGGCACTTAACAACAACAACAACACTAGCAGAGCTCCTTGTTAACTTCTTTAGTAAACCCCATAACTGTGAGTATTGTCTTTGAGTACTGTCTGGTCACTGCAATGAATGATCAAACCTAGTTGAGTAGAGAGAGCTGTGGGAGAAATGGTTTGTGCCATATTTTTACAGAACTAAAGAAAGGTGTGGTGCTGTGGGTTAATGCGCCAGACTGCAAAGCCGTCTGAACTGCAAGGTTGGCGAGTCAAGCTCACCAGCTGCTCCTTGGAAACCTTATAGAGGGTCGCTATGGGTCAGAACCGACTCAACGGCACTCAACAACAACAAAAGAAAGGATTCCTGGTGTGGCACTGTGGGTTAATGCATCAGACTGCAAAGCCATTTGAACTGCAAGGTCGGCAGTTCAAACTCAGCAGCTGCTCCTCAAAAACCCTATACAGGGTCACTATGGGTCGAAACCTATTTGACGGCACTTAGCAAGAACAACAAAAAGAAAGAAAGCCAAATGAATGAAAACAGGAAAGGGAAAAGAAAAAGCAAGCAGACATGTGAAAGACTACCATAGAATGAAGATGGGGTACAAGGGGCTCTCTTATTGAGCCTAAAGAAACACATCTTCCAAAGAGATGCTGTCATCCACCCCACAATTCCATTTTACAGATGAGAAACTTTTAATTCTCCTGAAATCCAGATTTCTGGGTGCATGAAGTTGGGGTAATTCTCCTGAAATCCAGGTTTCTGGGTGCACGAAGTTGGGGTAATTCTCCTGAAATCCAGATTTCTGGGTGTATGAAGTTGGGGTAATTCTCCTGAAATCCAGATTTAAGGGTATATGAAGTTGGGGTAACCCACCTGGCCTTTTGCCCTTTGAGGTTCTTTTGAACCTTGAACTTCTAAGGAGTCATCTTCAGCTCAAAAAATAAGCTAGTAAGCAGTTACTTAGAGACCGTTTTGCCTCAGGCATTGGACTCTTTTGGAGAATT